ATCCCGGTCGACCCCTACTCACCTAACTTACATAACCTACTTTTTTTTAATTGTTAATTTGCTCTTGTCCCGAATATGCATCAAATTATGAGTTTCTACTGGACGCAATGCAAACAACAATCATTCAGACTTCCAGGATACGAGTTTACTTTAACTGAATACAGGCAAAATTTATATCTAAATTAAAGAATATTTATACATGCGCTTCCGAACTTCTTATCTATGTAATCACATGCTATTATGAAAGTTATAAATGACAAACGGGGTCACAGTTGAGGAAAACGAATGACAGTATGTTCGACAGAACAACATCGGATTATCAAAGAAAGAAATTTCATCGAAAAATACCAACCAAATTATCTCTTGGGATGCTTCTTCCGAATTACAGATGCTTCCCACTTTACCAATATTCGGATAGAGCGATAGAAAAACAGATGATTATCAAAGAAAGACATTTCATTAAAAATACAAACCAAATTTGAACTTTTTTTGCATTATATACTTTAATCTAAATCATGTAAACGTAAATCAGTAACTTTAACGGAATATCCATCAATCCGTATACATATCTCAAAGCGCCAAAACCTATTGGAGAGAGATTATATTGATGGCTTGGCATTTTAATGATATTTTGAAATTATTGATCATTTTACTTAAATGTATACTACATTTAAGTGCATCTTCATCATTTTTTCTTCGTTATATATATAGTTTTTCCTCTTTTACAAAGGATATTTTTTTAACCAGCATGCTAGGAAAATCGATTTTATTTCTTGTCTAATTTTACAGCCATTTTGAAGACTGAATATAATATATGAAGATCTCTGAAGGTGTCACTGGCCATTTTATTTCCACAGATGGTGTGAAACAAGCGGTTTTTACACTGATACCACATTAATTTCCTTGTGCATATTGATGATTTAACCCCCCCCCCCCCCCCCCCCCACACACACACACATTTTTAACAACGCATATGAGCCATCTAAGTTAAATGATAATAATATATCCTGTCTTTTATATGCTGATGACTTTGTTCTGTTTTCTGAAAATGATAAGATTAGTTTGTATTGCAATAGTCTGGACTTGACAGTTAATCTTGACAAAACCAAAAAAACTTTCAAAAGATAAGTTTGTTTTTAATGATAATGTTATGGAGACTGTGAATCTTCCTTGTAAAAAAGACTCCAAAGCCATATTTTGTTTTTAGAAAATTGCTATTTCCTGGCCCAATTAATTCATTACATTTTCCAAAGCTGTTTGATACCTGTATAAGTATTAAAATATGGAGATGTGGAATGATTGCCAATGAGACAACTATCCACCAATGTTCGAACGAAGTGAATGGTAGCAATTATAGGCAATCGTACGGCCTTCAACAACGAGAACAACTCGTATAGTCGGGTATAAAAGGCCCAAACATGAAAAATGTGAAACAATTCAATTTTTAGAAAACTAACGGCCTAATTAATAACAAATAAATTCACGAAAAACAAATATGACTGACATGAACCAACAACAACCACTGAACTACAAGATCCTGACTTGGGACAGGCACATACACATGTGGCGGGGTTAAACATGTTTGTCAGCGCGCCCAAGGATCCACCTAACCTTGGACAGTAGTGTTACAGCACAACATAAGAACAAATTGTAGAAATCAGTTGCAATGGTTTAATTAGATCGACACGAGGCACACAAATAACTAACATTAAAAAATAGACACAAAGCACCGAAATAAGAGTACTCGCGATTAGTTACCGGAAGCTAGTTCGAAGCCAACTACTACATAAATCGTGTCCTCCCAGACTAAATATCAATCATTACACACCCAACAGATTTATTGTGAAGACGTCATTTACAATATGAGAAACGCATGACCTTTTGCAATGCCAAAATATAAGTAAACAGTATCGAAAGGATGTAGAATCATTAGTTCTCATGACTATACATATATAGCGATATGTATTTAGTTAAGTTTTAATTTTTCAAAAACAAAATCTATTTTAATACCAATAAAAGATCATTAAAACAATATTTAAGATTTTACTACTGTGTTAAATTGATAACTATTAAAAATAGATTATTCAAATGATCAATTAGTTAACATGGATCGTATCTAAATTTCAGGACTCAAGTTATAAACAACATCGCCGTAAAAACTAGGATGTGATATCCCGTTTTCAATAAGAGCAGGTACAGCCTTCCTAACCATATCTTTGTATCTAAGAAAGAATTTTGTAAAGGTTTTAATTAATATGTGGTAACGAAATCCCTGACTTAATAATTCATCAGTAATACATAAATTACGTTCATTGAAATCCACAAACGCGGCTATAGACACGGACATGGAGAACAAGTTGTGAAATATATACACGTCAAGAAGGGGCCAAAGGAACATCCCTTTCCAAAAAAGGAAAACCAATTAGATCTATTCTTCTTTAATGTAGTCAGGTTTGGTCTCTTTTTATGATAAAAGATATTACTATTCTTGTATCAAAATATTAGTATATGACACCAGTTAAAATTCAGATTATATTTGCAAAACCTTTAGTTTGAGTTGATAAAGCAACTTTAGTTGTACTGTTTAATGTACTATGTTTTCATAAAAGCCTTAAAATTATCAATTGGCTTCTTTCTTTTACTTAGATAACCTGAAATTACCCAATGGTTTTGTAAGAAAGGGTTTGAATACCAAATTGCTTTATCAAACTTTTCACATGTTTTGGAAAACCACAACACCGAGTCTTTTTAAGAAAATGGGTTTGTATCACGCAATTCATTCTTAACTTATTTTAGTGAAATATCCGAATTGAAGCGTACATGTAACGGAATAACTTTCATCTTGAGAGTTTTAATGCGTACGACATGGTGTTTTGAAAATGCATTTTTTCTTATACAATAGAATAAGAATAATAGTTTTGTATTTTTCAATTTCACATGATTTTCCTAAAATCTCATGATCCCATGCATCTGAATCGCGCATGAATAGATCACAATGAAATCGACATGGAATTTGTATTACAAATTACAGTGACATAGACATGTTGTTTTATATTACAAATTGGAATTCAGTAGAATCTAGAATCCTTCTTATATGAATTGGAATTCCAATATCTACTAGTAGAAATAATTAATTAGAATTCTGATTCTAAATTGTGAATATTAATTTTGAGACATAATTGAAAATTATTGAAATTTATAAAACTACTAGCTGTCATTGTAATATAGTATAGAAAATAGCAAGAACAGATTAAATAAGATAAAATATTACAAAATATTTCCTTAAAAAAGAAAAAAAACAGAAAATGGGGGATCCATTCCCCAAGCTCCTGTGTTCCTGACCTTTTTTTTAAGCTTCTTTTTGAGGTTGTCAATAATTTGTCCATTTTTTAGTTCGTTTAGCTTGTTGGTATAATAGCTTTTGTTTCTTCTTAAAGGCATTCTCCATATTATGTGGTTTATCCAGGGTAGTTGTTCTTGAAGCAGATTTCTTTTGATGGCATGCGTTCGTCCATGCTTTGAAATAGTTCTATCTTAAGATGTCACTCATTTCTTATACATTTATTCCTTTGTCCTGTATCGGTCTGATTTTTGATGATGTTCTTATTTGTTATCTCTTCTTTGATGATGTTCCAATTTGTCTTTAATTTAATTTAACATACCCGGGGGTTGTTTCATTGGTAGTATGGTTTTGTGTAGCAGTATGTCACTATCATTTCATGGTATAATATGCCAGGGGTGGTTTTTGAAGTTTTGACCAGTTACAGGTTTGTGGTTAGCACTTTATCATGAAGGTTGTCTTCTCTTGTTGGTGATTCGTGAATTTGAGTGAGTTGGCGGGATTCAGTTATAATTACCGTGAGTTTAGTTTGAATCCCCTTGTTACTTGGGTGGTTTGATACTGACATTGATTTCAAGTTTATCATCTGGGCAGTTGAAGTCCCCAGTAAGCATAGTATTCAGTGTTTTACCTGCTGTCATTTGTAGAGAGAGACAGTTTCTAGCTCGTTTAGGGGCCATCCTGTGAATACTTTGCTCGATCTAATAACGTCTTTATTACTGGGAATCCTAGGCTTTTCTCCTAATAAAACCAGGATTCTGTTCCATAGATAATGTCAGGTTAAGTGATGAAGTTTATTGCTCAATCCTTTAGATTCTGGTCATGACTGAGTTTTTTACTCCGCCGGTGAAATTTCATTAACCTGCAATAATTTTCAATCTTTAGACAATCTTTCGAAGTTTACATGGCTATTTACGCTAGAAAATTTAGATGTATATAAATGTTTGGGAAAGTATTTATCTAAAAACTTCTGAGGATAATGAGAAATTCAAAGATAATAAATGCAAATTAGCCGCGTATACTTATTTAGAGTGGTATATTTTATAGATCATGTTATTATTTGTATTATCTGGTTCTGTCCTGGCCTTATATAACAGTTATTGTAAAACTGTGTTGTTTTCTTTTATGTTTCTCTATTTATGTCTAATCATATGTATGTGTATGTAATGTGATAAAAGCTCTTTATAGGGCCCTTTGATTGGAAATAAAATATTCTTATTCATATTCATATTCTTATTCTTATTGTCTTATAATCTAAATTTACGTTTTTCGTTTTAGATGAATATGTTGTTACTCTATTTCTTTCTATTTCTGTGATAACTGGGGCTGTATTCCTTATGGGGATTACCCATTTTAAACTCAGTTAATCCGTTGTGTACTAAGGAACCGTTGTGTTAGCTGTTATTTAAACATTATTTGGGGTTTTTAGTTGTATTTTAAATGGTTTGACTGTGAACAATCTGAAAAGATCCTTTGCTTCTCAACTTAAAAAAAAAAATCAATATCAAACAAAAATAAAAATACTAAATGGCTATAAAAATCTTACAGTTTTTATTTAAATTTTAAATAGACAAATTTCAATTTTATTTCCAAATTTATCAAATAACAAAACATTAAACATTCTGTGCGGACTGCTCTGCATAGTTTCGGGTTCGGTTCCAACATGGCAACAATGGCAACAAGTCACAATTTGTCAGTAATGACAAACTCTTGCATAAAACCTCCGGTAGATCCCCAAACTGGATTATCGTCAACAATGCACGAAAGACCTAAGCCGTCAATGAGCTACTTGTTCGATGAATTGAGTAACGGGTATGTTTATGAACACGACCAACATCAGTTTTATGAAAATGGTTCGCCCGATCTTGTCACAACGAAACCCGCCTTGAAAACAATTGCACGGGACTTAAGCAATTGCACTGACGAAGAATTCTACGAAAAACTCACACAGATAAAAAACGAACATAAGAAAACTTTGGTACTTTGTGAAAAGTTATATAAAGAGAAAATAAACCACCAAAATCAGCCAGAAATTTCTGGCATTGGGCCAAGACCGGTTACAATTACATCAACCTTAAATGGACTTGATTCATCAGCAATTCAGAATTTGGATGTACCAGCAAGAGATTATATTAAAGGTCAAGAAATTATATTAGACAGGTCTGCAAATTCCAAACCACCACTTCCATTTTCAAAAACCCAACGAATTTCCCGTTCACCATCAGATATACCTGTCTGCAGACCTAGCTCTGCACCTGTACACAGACGTGGATCGCTCACTAAGAGTTTGGAAGAAGAAGTGTGGAAATCAATTTCAGAAAGAAGAGAAAAACAAACATTTGATAATTTTGAGGATGAACAACATTTACAAAATAGAAGTTATGGCGAAAATGAAAATCCTGAATTATCTGGTGCTTTATCACAGATTGGAGATATGTGGGAAGAATTTTCAATTGAAGATTATTATCCAAGATCCAGACAAAGACCTTCTTCAGCCACAGTCACAAAGGGAGAAAAAGAAGAAAAGGAATGGAGACATAGGATAACTATTCCAAAACCATTTAAAATGACAATAAGAGAAGAAAACAAAGAAAAAACAGTCTCAAAGGCTCAAATGGAATTAGAAGAACAAAGGAAACAACAAGAAGCTGAAGAACGAATTGAATGTTCTAAAAAATTTAAAGCAGCACCTGTGCCAGCTCATGTGTACTTACCACTTTTTGATGAAATAATGGAACAGCAAGAAACAAAAAGAAGATTTCTTCAACAGCATTCTCAAGAGTTACTGAAATCTCAGGAAAAGCCGTTTAAATTTCATTACAGAGAAAGAAGTAAAGAAAGACAAACAAGGATACAATCAGCTCCTACAAAAAGAGAATCAAAGTCAAAACACATGTTCAAAGCTAATCCAGTTCCAGATTATTTATATGACAATTCTGTTTATGACAGAATTTTAGAAGAGGAAGAATATAGAAAAATTAGAATGAAGATGCGTTCAGAAGAATTGCTTAAAAATTCATCATTGCCTTCTAACATGGAAGCATTGCAAAAAGCTAAGGAACTTAAAGCAAAAGAAAAAGCTATAAAAAGAAAAAAGAAACATTACTCAAAAACTAAAGTTAATCATGAGGTGCCAGATTATGATGAACTTTACTTGCATTTTCAGAAAGAGTTAGCAAGACGCAAAAATGAAAGGGATGGTACAGTTGTCAAACCATTCCATCTTCATACAGAAAATATGAGATCAAGTCGTGAAAAAATTATATCTGACATTGCAAACGATGAGAGAACATTGAAAGAGAACAGATGGCCTTATAAAAATCCAAGAACTACTCCACAAAGAAGTTTAGGTAATATTTTTTGCTATACATTGTTTACATGTACACATGTACAATTTACTGAATGTGAGCTTAAATTGTACAATGCATCTAATGGTCCTTGTAGATGTACATGTATAGCTATAGGTGCAAAATGTATCCGTAATATAAAGAACTATTAAAGACAGGTTTGGGCCCCTCTGCGTTTCTATAAACAAATGAACCAGCCAGACATTTTTTCCCTGTTCCAGTTTTTAAACACACTGCATTTGTACCATAAGGCATTCAAATCTTAAGTTAACCACAGAGAGATCAAAGGCAAGAAGATTTATTCAAGATGCAAGAGCATGATGAATAATGAAAACTATTTACTCACACTTTGATTTTGGTTTATTAACTGATAAAGTATGCTTTGGAGTGTTGAATGTCAGCTTAATTCTTTTTGTCGGGCCTGCAACTTTTGTCACAAAAGCGAGACATAGCGATCCTACATTCCGTCGGCTGCAGCGGCATCCACAAATATTCACTCTGTGGTTAAAGTTTTTGAAATTTTAATAACTTTTTTAAACTATCCTGGATTTCTACCAAACTTGGACAGAAGCTTGTTTATGATCATAAGATACAATGTAGTATCCAGAAGTAAATTTTGTAAAACAAAAATCCTGTGGTTAGAGTTTTTAAAATTTTAATAACTTTCTTAAACTATCCTGGATTTGTACCAAACTTGCAATTGGACAGAAGCTTTTTTATGATCAAAAGCTAATATCTAGAAGGAAATTTTGTAAAAATTTATTTCCTTTTTTCCGTATATATTACTTATAAATGGATTTACAAAAATGTAGTTTTTCTTCCAGTTAACATTACATACAGTCTGCAGTTAAAGTTTTTAAAACATTTATTAGATTCATAAATCATCCTGGATTTTTACCAAACTTGGATAGAAGCTTCTTACAAAAGATAGTATGAAGAGGAAAATTTTGAATAATTTGTTCCCCATTTTTGTTGAGCCTGTGACTAACAGCAAAAGTAGGCGAGACACTGGGTTCTGCAGAACCCTTACAAATTTTTTTTTATAATGTCTCGTCATAAATGCTTGAACACACAGATAAAAAAATTTAATTTTGTTTTAAAAAACAAAAATGTTTTCTGATTCTTAATATTTACTGTAGTCTGTATCATGTACATGTATGTCCACAGCTATAAAGGTTTTATATATATATATGTTGGACTCTGAACCGGATGGGACTCCGAACTGCGATGGTCACGCTGAAGTGCAATGGTCCACGCTGAAGTGCGTTGGTTAACACGCTGAAGTGCGATGGTGACATTGTGACGCTAACTTGTTGATAGCTACGCTGAAGTGCGTTGGTGGATACGCTGTAGTGCGATGGTCTAACTGTGACGTTGTGTATACTAGCTAAATGCGATGTCTGAAGTTGGAACCCACATTTAATGTATAGTTGTGTAGTGGTTATCGTGCTAGCCTCGCATTCGGAAGATCTGGTATGATGTCTGGTCAGGTCACATACTTTAAATTTTAATTTGCTGATTATCCGCTTAGCACGCAGCAGTATGGAGTCAGAAAATATACTAGATGGTTCAATATAGTACAAAGCAAACGAGTGGGAGGACATGTCTTGAGTGTGCAAGTGCGATAAAAAAATTAGGTTCAGCTAGTATAGTACTAAGCAGGGTCCATATGATTTATCAACTATATTAGTAACTTGTTTTGCCATGCCATAGCTATACGAAATTGCTCACAACACTCATTCATCCATTTATCTGATATGGTAACAGATTTTTCAAGAAATAAAAACCACCAAGTACATTTATGCTTGACTTGTAGCGAAACGTGACGCGTGTTCGGCCAAAAACTTGAGAATTAGCTCTTTCTCCGCAGAGCAGTAGACATTTAGAAGTACAAGTAGGGACCATTCGGTTTATTTTGACCTAACCCGTTGCCGATGATCAATACTGTAAGCACAATTAGACTAAGAGTGTGGGTTTTCTTACAAAGCAGGATTCATCACAAGAGTTAAACAAAATTATCTCTACTTGATACAACGATAACATTGCTAATAATAAATTTGATTTTATTATTAAATTGTCCACACAAAATCGTGTGAAGCATACTTGAAGAGAAGTCAAAATTAATATTAAGATCAAGTCATTTTATTGGTCGTACAAAATATTTGCGGCATACATTTTGTACTTCCGAACACTGGTTAGCCCATCTGCAGACTGAGATCATTTTTAGCCGCTTTGTTCCCCATGATTTGGTGCCTGACTTATTTTTACATATTTTTGTAACCTCCACCTGCAATGCTCAGTAGTGTTCGGGACTAGAATCGTTCGTTTCTTTCATTTTTCTTTCCTTTGTACGCATTGAACCTTCATCTTCAAATTCTTATTCTCCTGCCTGCGAACCCATGTTGTTAGTAACGTTGTATTTGAAAACGTCACAATATTCAAACGTCATGCCAAGCCATCGCACTTCAGCGAAAGGACCATCGTACTTCAGCGTGGACCATCGCACTTGAGCATGACCATGGCACTTCATCGTCCCCATCGCACCTCCAAGTCCTACATATATATACAAGTCTAAATTGAAAACAACGTTCAAACCTATGATTGCGTTGCATAAAAACTGCAATTTTTATACGTTGTGCATGCAAAACAAATTTCTTGGTAGAGGGGTCTAAAAACAGCACAAACAACATTTTCTAAAAGACCAAAAAAGTGAAAAAGTATATTTTAACAAAACCCATTTGACTAGCAGGTAGAACAACGGATGTTCTTAAACCCTGCTGACTGCCATTGGCGATTGCCAAATAAACGGACCACCAGATGTAACAAAATGGATCTTAACTATTAATTTAATACCAAACAGAAAACAATAAACTTGCGGAAAAGATGGTACAATGTATACCGCAAACAAAAGGTGCAAAAATTAGTACACCATATCCGGAGTACTTTTTGTATAATTTTAATAATTGATACAAAATTATGAAAACTATTTTCAATGATTTGTAAACATTAACTAAAATATAGAGACTCCTGGTGACTCAAACTCTTTGTACAATGAATGTGTATATTTTTATATTACCAGGCCATCTATCAACTTCTTTGGATTCTATACCAGCAAAGATGACAAATGCTGCAGCACTTAGATCTAGTCAGTCCAAGTATGTATGCTATATGAATTTAGACAAGGAATAAAAAATAAAATTTGGGTGAGGGTATAAATGGATTAAATGCATACTTACAATCCTCAGAACAACTCATTCAAGAAGATTGCAATGTCTCCTGGTAATTTGTATTCATGTATGAATAGGTTAATGCCAGATTATATGTGACAAACAAAACTGAAATCTAATGAGTTATTATTAATCACCTGTCCAAGAGTCATTGCCTTCTGGTATTTTTTCTAAAATTGCTACCATTTGCTGGAATGATGATTGCATTGGCGACCCTTTAAAAATATTCCTCATTTGCCACTGATTACATTGTATATAATACATGATGGCAATGATTCCACATAGGTTATCAATAAACGACTCGTGAGCATAGTGTTTCACTTAAAAAAAGTGAGCGTGGATGTGCATCCCTGTAAGACCATCCCAGTAAGATCTAATTAGTATGATAAGTATCCCAGAATGAGAGACTTCTCTATAGGTCATCTTCAGTTATTTTCCTTGACCTTTAATCCATTTCTTAGAAATTCTTGATGGTATTTCACAGCCGTATGTTGTATAACCTCCCATTTAGCATAAAACAGTTCAATTACACTTAGGTCATTGTGACCTTTATTTATGCTTTAGAAAAAAATGGTTTAATTATTTAGTTTACTGGAAATATAACAGCTTATTTATACATGTATAAATAAAAGAAATCAATTCCACCCACAACAGTGTTTGTGAAGTACCTGAACAAACAGATAAAACCAGTACTTAGACTAGTAAAATGATATTTTTACCAAAATGTATGATAAAATTTTGGCAATTTTTATGAATCACATTTGCTTCTGCAAAACATTTGGGTCACCATTAACTACATTTTTATATGTTGGTAGCATTAAATCTTGTGTTTCACATGCACATGTAGGTCTGTTTTTTAGACATCCATAATTGTTTCAATAGGTTAGAACATTTTTTCTAATTGCAGTTATAATTTATTTTTTCATAACTTATGGACTGGTGAATAGCTTCTGCCCATTGCTAGAGACATGTTTTTTGTGGTATAAAACTGGCTCAGTGTATATATATTCTTGACCATTCATTTGTAGTGGTTGACTCTGTCTCGGAGGAAGTTTGGAAAAATCAAAAACCTTGTTTTCAAGAACTCATATACATGTAAGGTGAAACCTTTACAAAGTTTTATGCAATCAGTAAGGATTTTTTATTTTTCTAAACGTTTTATGAAGTAGAAAGGCTATTTCTGTGACATGCTTGCTTTATATATACTAAAAACTACCTTTCCTATAGCAATGGGATGAATGTTTTTACCAGTTGATCAGGTTGAATTGCCTCTTGATAAAGTGTTGAGGCACATTAGTATCGGGAAAGTGCAGTTCTTTTGAATAGGCACAGTAAATGAGAAGACAAATGTACACGAGTCTTGATATTTGTTGATATCAAATCTAATGGGGCTCTAAGTACGTTTTCTTCTTACTCTTCCACTTTTAGCATTCATGACTTGATTGTGGTTCTCCTTTAGCAGTTTTATAAATCTTCTGACCAGTTGGAAAATTTGATTGTAGAAGCAAACTACAACTGCATCAGGTGTTTTTAGACTTCAATGGTATGGATGAAAAATTTACATAAACATTCAAGTCACAGTAATTATAATAGGTTAAGGATTTGATCCAATTAGTTATTAATTCAAATTTGATACTAGAAAAGGTGATCGGCTGTCATTTCTAATGCTTCCATTTCTTTCTTAAATATATAACGTAAAAATCTATTGTTTTTAAAATTATTTTTTGCAGAAAGAAACTTTCAACAATGACTGAGAAGGAAAGAAGAGAGATAGATGAAGAGAGGCGAAAACGCAACAAAGAGATGAAGTATCGAAGATTAATTAATGAAAGAACATCAACAGAAAATTTATCTGAAACTACTGAACAGAGGTTAAGAAGATACAGGTAATAAGAAGAAGCCTTGGCACAAGTCACTTACTGATATCTTGGATTTCAGATTTTAATGAAATCTGTATAACACCTTATTGTTATATACATGTACATGAATACTAGTTGCTAAGTAAAATATTCATTCTGTTTAAAGAATAAGTTCGTCATGCCTTATGACAAATTAGAAATAGAGCAAATGAGTTGGTACTTTAAATTATGTACATAGATAAATAAATAAATATAAATTACACATCATTTCTGGATTGTGAATATGAAATGAACTAACACCAAATCCTTTATAAAAATGTATAACATTGTAAACATTTCTGTCATTTCATCTGGCACCAAGATTCAATGGCCCATGATAAATTTTATTATTTACAAAGTATTCTTATATGGTTTGCAGAGAGGCAGAGAGAGAAAGAATGGAACAATATGAGAAAGAATTACAAAACATGAAGGACAGAATTGACCAGAGACCATTATTGTTTGAACAAGAATCACAGGTAAACAAAAATTTAATCAATTAAGCTAATATAAAACAATAGCTATAAGGTTATGTAAATTGTGTTCAAACTTTTTAAAACCATTTTGTTAAATTATAGAAATGTATAGAAAATGGCCTTAGCTGTAGTATACAATCAACATGATATGTGCTATTTTCTACCTCCAGGCATAGATGGTGTTTGTCAGATTTGGCACCTTTTTTTTGGTATTCAATGCTCTGAGACATTTAGAACCCTTATTTTGGGGGGAAGAAATTCATCAATGACAATTTGTCAAAGCAGATGTCATAAAAATTGAATAAAAATGATACAAGATAAATAGTGTTAAAATAAGTCACACACTGTATTGATTTTAAGTAAATGATGAGAATTTCACATAACTGAATAATATTTTAATGCTTTAATTTAAAAAAAAAATGAATTTAAAAAAAAACTTTTATCATTGGATTTTTTCCACTCATCTTGATCATCAAATGCATGGGGAAAACAAGATTGAAAGTTACAGCTTAATTACTGTATTGATTCATGGAAATTACAACAATGAAAACATATATTTAAAAAAAATAACCAAGTGTAAATCAATTACCTTCATAACATTATTATTGCTATACAAAATATTAATGAATTCTTTATGATGGCTAGCATCATGTAAACATGAGTTTTCTCTTTAATTTAGGTCAATGCCAAAAAAACAGCGGAGAAGAAGTTTACTGCCAAACTACGTAGTCACGGAGTTGATGAAGAAGCCCTACAGACTCGAAGTTCCCGTACTGTTAGTGTCCATGATAGTTATGACAGTTATGATGATGATTTTGATGACACCTATATGAAAACAAAAGAAGTAGAAGTTGAGTCATAGGACAGGGATACAACAGACTTCATAACAATTCAACCACTTTAGGCAGATATTGCATGCATGTAGTCAAATTCAAAGTGAAAAGAACAAAATTAGTGGCTGCTGCAATAGATGTAACAGATGTTATTTATTAACATGTAGATTCAGAATTTAGCAGTGACAAGACATCTTTTGTTAGTTAGATACTTTATTAACTTAGATAAGGAGCATGTTATCTGGTAATAAAAGATCTAGAAAAAAAGGAAAAAATAACGTATTCATTTTACTATTGTTAAGTATGGTAAATAAAGGTTGGAGAAATTGAGAATCCCCTTCTAATCATGTGACAACAGCAATATTCCACTTATAAAAGGTAGATGATCATTGTTTCAATTTATCAGATATTGTGAAAATAATGTTAAGAATTATCTCAGTAAGTTGGGTTGATAAGGTTAATAGTGCAAATAAAATTATGTCTTATTTTTGTTTTGTTTTTATAATTGTTTCTAATGAATGGTATTGATTGTGATAAGCTAACAGTTAAAATTTTCTTGTAATACATTTTCCAATTATAAAAAAAAAACGCGCAGTAAATGAAAACTGGAATTCATAGGTAAATGTTAGAATTTCATTCCAAATGTGTTTTTATATAGATAATGTATGAAAGCTGTTAATCAAAGTCTAAAACAAAAGGAAAGAAGGCATTGTTTTGACATTATTCTTTTTTTTATAAGAAAGATGTGTGACAAAATCCAATAGAAATAAGTAATATAGGACATTATTAATAGATAGATGATAGAAGTAGTAGAAATTTGTAACTGAGCTTTTTATATATGTATTTCTACTATAACCAAGTTAATCATTCCATTAGAAATTAGATCTTGCTACTGAGCAAGAGTTTATTAAAAACAGTTTTTGCATTTGGATTAAATAACATAGATTCAGGTTTTTTACATATTTTATCATATAATTCATTTAAGAACAGAGAAAAAGCACCTCATGTATATTTTCATTGTAATTTGTTCGTAATGTACATGTTGTGTTAGACGAATGACTCAAATTTGGAACTTAACTTGGCTCGAGATCAAAACTTGATTTTGTAATTGTAAATGTATACTTGAACAAAAATATTTTCTCTCTGACTTTTTTATTTAGTCTGAAGCTGATACTCTCTTTTTGTCACTTTTTATGTCTTATCTATCATAGCAGTGGTGCATTCTTTTTTCAGTTCTGTGCATCCATCCATCTCTTTTGTCTGTCCCATGTTAAGTTAAAGTTTTGATGTAAAGGAGTTCACTAGTAGGTTGTGGTCACTTCAGCTTGAAACTAAGTACACATGTTAAAAATATGTTAAATTAGGGTTTTAATCCAAATTTTGTGGTTTACTAAATATTGAAAAGGGATAGTATTCGAGGGGCATGATATCCTATTGACATATAATCTTGTGTAAAAGATGCATTTGTTTTATCCCATACTCTAGAAATGGGAATGGCCAGTATAGATAATTCAGGTTATTATTTGTAAGTACTGTAATATATCATTCTCAATATTTTACTTCTTGTTTGCAAGCTAGATCAGGAAGCAAGCCACATATGTTCATATTGTGCTTAATGATTGAGAATTGCACATTTATCTGCTAAAAAAATATTTTTTATATCCCCCCCCTTTTTTAAAAGCAGGCAATATTTAGAGATGATAGGGGAGTCTGTCCGTCTGTTAGTTTGTCCTTCTGTCTAACTTTTATAAGTACAACTATGCAACTAAGATTTTTAAAGGACCATGACTTATACATTTGTTGTTCCGTATAAGTCAGATAGAAGTTATTCATATTCCTAAAGCAAATATAATCACTTTCCTTTTGTACTTTCTAGTTTCATTCATTTGCATGTACAATACTTTGTCATTCATTGTATATCAGTTCTAAGGCTATATAAATATTGGAATTTGGTTGAAAAGGAAATTTGGGGACTTTGGGGAGAAACTTTCAGAAAAAGAAATCATGATTTCTGTTAAGCTATTCAATGACCTTAGAAATTTATAGAAACAAAAAATTCCTTATAGTTTTTGAATTTGAATTAAACAAAATATGAACTGAAATATTAATGCTTACTTTAAACTATTTGATATGGATGGTTAATTTTTTCTCTCCTTTTAGGATTTGAATGTTGTTGATCTTGAAATAATATTTTTAATGTTTTGGTTTTAAATGTTTAATTATTGATATTAAAACTGTTAAATATATCTATTAACTAGTCTCTTTATAAATAAGAGGACAGACCAATTGTTGTCATTACAGTTTTTAAGGAAAAAAAAAGAATTTATATATATGTATTTCATCAGATTTTGGTAATGGAAGATATCATGATTTGAAAGATGTAAATTGTATGTTATTTCTCTTTTTTAATGTTTTAATTTTAATACACAGATTCTTACTGTTACTGTCAGTTGTGTAATATGGTATAAGGAATTTTTGTCATCAATGTTATTGTTTTATGTGATACTGTGATATTTCTTGTTAAATCTTGACATTTTAATGTTTTCACTCACATTTTATACATTTCAGTAGGCTATCAGTAATATATTTATAAATAAAATAATGTATTGTTTACTTTGTGAAATTTATGCCTGGTAATGAGCAAGAACTATTTTATTTAAAGCCCAAAAACTGGTAGACTGTTTTAGACTCTTGTTTTCCCAAAAACATTGTCATAGCAACAGGATATTAAACTAAATTATATTTAGAAAAATATTTTGTGGGGTATAAGACATTTCTGTTATATTGATATTTTCTGCTTTCCAAGCAGCTCAGACAATTTTACCTTCTTTAGAATTGATCCATCCTGAACATGATATTTTCTCAGCATCTACTATGCTGTAAGAATTTCATAAGGAATTTGAATTTTAGTTGTGTTGACCAGCCAGTTAGTTAAGATAATTAGTACTGTGGCAGTCCTTTTGGCACTTCATTTAACGAAAACTAAACAAATAAGGGGTTGGGATTTAAAATTTGCAACAAAGTCACAGAAGAGTGCTGTTTCTGAAGTTTGTTAAGTAAGTTTTTTTGTAAGTAGGTCAGTTGAAGGGACACAACCTTTGATTAATCAATGATATTTTGTATGCAGTTGTATTAGCATTGGCATACCTCATTTACTTGATATTATTTGGCCATGTGCTCTCAGTCATGGTCCGTTGACCTTTTAAAGTTTTTTAGTTTACTTACTGTAAATTCAGAAATTATTGCGATGTTTTTATTATTGCGAAAAATGCGACAGGGTCATAATCGCAATAATTTAAACTCGCATTTTGAAATTTTTTATATGAATTAAACAGGATTTTTCTCAATATCGCAAAAATTAAAATCGCATTTTAGTCTAAAATGACAAAATCGCAATAATAAATGCACGCAATAATTTCTGAATTTACAGTATTAAAATGCAGTATAAATTAAAATAAAAGAAGAATGGGTCTGAGGACACGAATGCCCCCGCTCAAGCTTTGCAATTTTTCAAGTTAAAAAGGGGCATAACTCTAGAACTGTTGATGACTCACTGCCCAAATTCAAACTCTGTCTGTATGTTGTGGTTCTTAGCATTTTGTATGAGTTTCATAAAATGTGGATAAGGCAAACTTAAGTTAGAGTGCGGAAATGAAAACAATTTTCCGAGTTATAAAGGGCATAACTCTGTCTGCGAGTTTTGGTTCTTAGCATTGTGTATGAATTTTAAAAAAAAGATGAAGAAAACTGAAGTTAGAGTAGGGAAACGAAAATGGGACGGGTCGGACAGAAAGATGGTAAAGGGTAACACTTAATGCCCCCATTGCCTACGTCAGGGGCATTACACAATATAAATTACATTCAGACTAGGCATATATCTGTGTCAGCAGATTATCAAAGATATTTAACAATTAATGGTACAAATGATTCAAAGGGAGGGACATGACCAGGGGAACACCCATAGTGCTCTTGAAAGGCATTATCATTGAAATCAGTATGTGTATAGTTTAGGGATGTGTTTCTGAATCCATTTTTGAAATATTTCAAAATTACATGGTTTTGGGGTAAACATGAACCTTAAGGTAAAAAAAGGATTTTTTAAGAAATTTTTAAGAAGTCAACTGCAATGGTATCTGACATATCGTACTAGGGTGATGCATCCATGTGGCCATTATCAAAAGCTTATGACCAGGACAAGAAAAAGTCCCAAAAATTTAATTGTCCCCCGTGTAACGTGTTTTGGGGGACATGGAAGTACCAGGCGTCAGTCTGGTCTTGTTAGCGCTCTCACAGGTACAATTCTTTACCAGATTTTTATAAAACTTATACTATAGGTTAATATCAGCAATATCTCGGACAAGTTCTATAATGGTGGCCGATCGACTTTTTTTAAAAGAGTTATGCCCCTTCGAAATATTAAATTTATGGAAAAGGTCCTCATTAGCGCTCTCACAGGTACAATTCTTGCCAGATTTTTATAAAACTTATACTATAGGTTAATATCAGCAATATCTCGGACAAGTTCTATAATGGTGGATGAATGGTGGATGATCGACTTTTTTTAAAAGTTATGACCCTTGGAAATATTAAATTTATGGAAAATGGCCTAGTTAGCGCTCTCACAGGTACAATTTTTTACAAAACTTATAGTATACTATAAGTAATGCCCTTGAAGGTCTGTTTGAAATATTTAGTATACAATAAAAAAAACTTTTTTGTCCCCCCGCGCACGCTTTTTGTCGAGCCTTCGACTTTAGTCGAAAAAGCGAGACATAGCGATCCTACATTCCGTCGGCGTCGTCGTCGTTGGCGGCGTCCACAAATATTCACTCTGTGGTTAAAGTTTTTGAAATTTTAATAACTTTCTTAAACTATCCTGGATTTCTACCAAACTTGGACAGAAGCTTGTTTATGATCACAAGATATTATCCAGAAGTAAATTTTGTAAAAATAAAATTCCATTTTTTCCGTATTTTACTTATAAATGGACTTAGTTTTTCTGCCAGGAAATATTACATTCACTCTGTGGTTAAAGTTTTTAAAATTTTAATAACTTTCTTATACTATTTTGGATTTGTACCAAACTTGGACAGAAGCTTGTTTATGATCAAAAGCTAGTATCTAGAAGGAAATTTTGTAAAAAAATAAATCCATTTTTTCCGTATTTTACTTTTAAATGGACTTAGATTTTCTGCCAAGAAACAACACATTAACTTTCTTAAACTATCTTGGGTTTGTACCAAACTTGGACAGAAGCTTGTTTATGATCAAAAGCTAGTATCTAGAAGGAAATTTTGTAAAAAAATAAATCCATTTTTTCCGTATTTTACTTTTAAATGGACTTAGATTTTCTGCCAAGAAACAACACATTCACTCTGTGGTTAAAGTTTTTAAAATTTTAATAACTTTCTTATACTAATTTGGATTTGTACCAAACTTGGACAGAAGCTTGTTTATGATCAAAAGCTAATTTCTAGAAGGAAATTTTGTTTTCTCCCAGTTAACATTACATTCAGTCTGCAGTTAAAGTTTTTAAACATTTATTAGATTCATAAACTATCCTTGATTTTTACCAAACTTGGACAGAAGCTTCTTACAATCAAAAGATAGTATCAAGTGGAATATTTTTATTGATTTACTTCCTCATTTTTGTTGAGCCTGCAATTAACAGAAAAAGTAGGCGAGACACTGGGTTCAGTGGAACCCTTACGAATTTTATTTATAAATTGTTTTAAAGAACAACAAAAAAAAGTGTTTTTTTTTTAATTTATTGTCCCTGGATAGATAAAATATAGGCAATGAGGGGGACATTGGAACTTTGTTCTTTTATTATTTTGATCTTGAGGTCAAAGGTCAAGGACACGACAGCTATATGTCATACACGATCTTTTGGTAATACAACTTCATGCAAAATATGTCACTGTCAAAAGGTTATGCCAGGACAAGGTTGAATGAAAACAAAAATCAAATGAACCAGAAGAACAAGAACAAAAAATACTTGTGGGCGTATGGATTCATTTCTTTTCCTTTTTTCTGGTGTTTAATTTTTGTTTGTAACTATTTTTCAAAATTTCTATTCTGTTGAAAATAAGAATAGAGGGGCAGTATATATTAACTACTGTTATTGTAATATGGTATGGATATATTACCTTTCGGAATTTTGGGTCCTCAGTGCTCTTCAACTTTGTACTTTATTTGGCCTTTTTAACTTTTATGAATCGAGCGTCACTGATGAGTCTTTTGTAGACAAAATGCGTGTCTGATGTACAAAATTTAAATCCGGGTATCTATGAGTTGATGGTAATACGGTATGGATAAGTACAAGAACACATTAAATTATTAAAATTCTCTAAAGAAGATTTGATTAACAAAATTGAACAACAAAAGAAAGGGGAAAAAGGGCATCCATGCCCCAAGCACCTTTGGAAATACTACTCAAGTTTGTTATATAGAAGATATAGTAAGTGCCTGATTATCATACTCATTGTAAAAAATTGAAGACTACAATCAGTCCTACACATCTAGATTACAAGAGGATGATCCAATAAGCAAACCCATTGTCTAGTGAGTGCATGTAATGGTACACATCAACAGGAACAGTTTACCATTTTGAAATACCCAAGTGTGGGGTTTATGGTTTTCTGTTGTAACAAAAGTAGGATTATGTTTAATGGTTATATAAGAGACAACCATGCATAACACATTAATAAACACAGCCCTGTCATTAGCGTTAAAGTTTATCTTAAAATATTAAAATATTAATTTCTTTTTCTTTTTGAATGTCACTACTATGAGAAAACTAGCCACCAGTCTGATAGTCCAAATGATGTAGATGTAAGCAACTATAAGTCGCTGTATAGCCTTCAACAATGAGCAAAACCCACACTGATGTTTACCAAGCATCTGCTAAAATTTAATGTAACTGCTAACTATGTCAAAGCTGACTTGGCTCAGTGTTTTAATAGATTAATGAATTAAAATTTAAGACGAAAGTATTTGACCATATACCAATGTAAGTATTGGAGACTAAGCCCCATCAGAAGTATGTCATACTGACCTACATATGATTATTTACTCGTTAGTTTATTCTTGGATAAGTAAGCCACGTAATTCATTGTTGAAGACCTTCAAGCAGGAGTAAATATGAAGAACATCAACAAAAGCGTAAATCCTTAACTCATTAAAACCAGTATTACTTTGAATAGGGATGATGTTACATATAAATAAGAAGATGTGGTATGAGACAACTATCCATCCAAGTCGCAATGTGTAAAAAGAAAACAATTATAGGTCAAAGTATGGCCTTCAACACGGAGCCTTGGCTCACATCGAACAGCAAGCCCCAAAAAGACTTGTGTAAAACAATTCAAACAGGAAAACCAACGATCTAATCTATATAAAAAACGAGAAACACACCAACAAACGACAACTACTGAACAACAGGCTCCTGACTTAGGACAGGTGCATAAAAATGCAGCAGGTTTAAATGCTTTAACAGGCACCAACCTTCACCCTAACCTGAAACAGTGGTATAACATTACAACATAAAAAGACACACAATAAAATATCAAATTGAAATGGCTTAACTTGATCAAAAAGACAATACACAAAAACAAATAAATATACACTGAACGAATAAGTTTGATCTATGACACAATATAAATAAAAAAGATGTTTCAATGTCAAAAAGACAACTTTAACCTAACAAAATGGCGTTAAATAGAGTAACGTACACAGGTAAATCTAAATATAATAATTTTGTTGTTGGGAGTACAGAAACATTTTTTACAAAATAAATTTGTTATTCATAGTATGAGTACAGAAGTGAAAATTTTTTCGTCATACTAAATACTTTTCAAAGGTGGTACATATTAAAAATAGTAAGACGAGATAACACAAAATAAGTAAACATTGAATAACAGAAATGCATTACAAATTGTGTCAACAGGTCAAATTAAGAAGAAAGTACGATTTGAGAGTACTAGCAATTACTGAAAGCTAGTTAAAAGCCAAAAACAATTAATAATAAAAAATCATGCATCAGAGACTAAAATCAATTAAAACACATCCCAGGCAGTGTTTTAATGCCATGGACAGTCAAAGAAGACATGACTTGTGCAATGCCAAAATAAAAGTAACGACAGGCAGTAGGATAGTTAGGATTTAACCTTATAATAAATATGTATGATGTTATGTATAGAAAAAACAATTTCTAAAAAAGAAAATAAACGTGGATGTGTATATATACATCAGAAAAAAAACCATTCGAAAAATATACAAATTTAGTTATGTTTTAATTTGTTGATGACAAAATCAATGTTAGTGCCAATGAAAACAATATTCAAAGATCTTATTACAACATTAATATGATAACCTTTTCTTATAAGTTTTTTTAAAGGTTCGATAAGTTAACACAGATACATATATAGGTATAGGGGGAAGGTTGAGATCTCACAAAACATGTTTAACCCCGCCGCATTTTTGCGCCTGTCCCAAGTCAGGAGCCTCTGGCCTTTGTTAGTCTTTTGGTTGTTTTTTTAATTTTGGTTCATTTTCATGTTTCGGAGTTAAGTGTGACGTCCATTTTCGCTGAACTAGTACATATTTTTGTTTAGGGGCCAGCTGAAGCCTGCCTACGGGTGTGGGATTTTCTTGCTGTGTTGAAGACCTATTGGTGGCCTTGGGCTGTTTTCTGCTCTTTGGTCGGGTTGTTGTCTATTTGACACATTCCCTGTTTCCATTTTCAATTTTATATAAATTAACTTCGTTACGACATAAAAGTATAAATTCAGTAAAATACATAACCGTTTTATTTGAAAACGAAAATAAATTACATATCATACATACACAACTTCCATGAATAACATACATGTATTTGCATTTATTTAAATTTATTTCAATTTGTGTAAATTCTTCAGAATAAATCATCTCAAAAACTATTATGAGAGAACAAATTACAACTTCAATCAGTTAAGATATAATATTTTCCACCTTTGATAGTTACATTTTCAATTACTTAACTATTTCAGTTGGAAAATCTATTCCATTAGATACAAAAGTAGAATCCTAATTTATGAGTTGCTAATTGTCTTTTGTTCATTTAACATTCTATCACAGGTAATTTCTCCATGGCTAAAATCTGAATGTAAAAAATCAGTGTCATATACAGTCTCTTCTGGTGTGTTTGTATGTTGGTAACTGGTTGTCATAGTAACTGGTAATTGTGGAAGGGGAACAACTACAACATTAGCAGCACATGATGTTTCCTGATGTACTCTTGTTTCCTTGGTAACTAAATCTGGAAAAGAGTATTGATCACTCAATTCAAACAGTAAAACAACAGTTTATATTAATCTGCATAGATTATTAGGTTCTTTAAATACAAAGCAATTATTCTTCTTAATATGAACTATTAGGTCATAGCACATCAACTATTCTTTTTAACACAATTGGGAATTATTTCCAAAACATGTGATACAAGTGGAAAATATTAATTAATTTAAAAAATATTACAATCAAACTAAACTCTGTGAAAAAATTGTGTACTTACAATAAGTAGTTTATGAGTAATAAAATTTTAAAATTTAAAAACCAATCTGGTCAGTGTAATCAGCCAAAATGTTGAGAAAATGGGTAATGGTACAAAGAAATGATTTTACCAAAAATATGTACATCCCATATCAATTTTTTCTTTTTAAAATTCTTAGATATGTATTTTTTCAATCATTTATTACAAAGAAGTTGAAATAATATGCTTTTTGTTCTAAAAAAAGAGAAAAATCCCAAATTTACAAAATTTACAGTATGGTCAGTTTGACACGAAAAAGCAACAAAATTTTATAAAACTTTCTAATATTAACACCAACCTATACTTTTTTTAAGTTAAATTTATTAAGATTGGTCCACTTCATCTTTAGTGAAAGTATGAATAAAAGTTTAATTGTTGAACTGTGATTTTTTTACATGATAATAGCCCAAAAATGGGTAAAAATTTATGAAAAATGGGAAAATCATTAAAAATGGGGTACTTTCAAATGGCCATAGCAAAAAAAGAAGTGTGCCACCATATGATTTTTTCTTCATCAATTACTTTCTTACAGTCATATAAACCCAAAAATCAGGTTAAGAAAAAAAGTTTTAATTCTAGAAATCTTTGGCTCCTCAGAGGTGTACATCCCTAAATAACAAATCAATATTTAAATGACAACTCTTTCATCTAAGAACTTGTCCTAGACATTCATATCCTCAATCCTCACACAAAAAATAACTGAAATCTATATAAATACAAATTCTTTTAAAATGCACCTTTTTCAAAAACAACAAAAACAAGAATATATGTCCATAGGATGCCATGCCCTCCTGGCATTATCACATTTTAATGTTCAGTGAACTTACAATCTTGGTCAAAATCCATTAAAAGTTCACATCATAATGAGCATGCTTTTAAATTTTAAGTCGATGTGAGCACAACTACATGGTCAAGTACCTTAAAATGAAACTTTAACCTGATACTGACATAAAACAGACAGACAGAGTGACTACCAGAGGGAGATACAGACAAGAAAACATAATGCCCCCTAATATCCTAGACTGGGCATACAAATACTAAACAATAACAAAGATCTGCCACAAAAAGTTGACATAACTTTCATCTTAAACATCATCAAAGATATTCAAATTTGCAGCCTTCTGAAAGACAGACAAATTTATATATAGCCTTTTATTATACTTACTACTCATTTGGTCTCTGGTTGAGAGTTGTCTAATTGGCAATCTTACCACATCATCTTATTTTTATAAATGATGCATATTGCTATATTCCCTTCAACAATGTGCTGCTTTTGTCAGGTCAGGATTAGTTTAAACATATTTTATTTGCTAAATATCAGCAAAATGGATGAGACACAAGTAAATCATACTTATGAAGTCTTCTCCATATTACAATACAAGTATATATACAATAATCACATTATGAGCATGCATGTAAAGCTAACAAATTCATTAAATATTATACGAACTATAAATAAAAAGAAAAAAAGAACAAGAAGAATGGAAAAGGAGGAAAAGAAAAAGAAGTAAATTATATTTTCTGTGATGTTGACTTAGGTTTGATGGTGATGATCATCCGTGCCGGTAGCAATAATATTTTATGAAGGTACTAGAAATCTGTTAGACCTTTTAATAAAATCTTGAACATGTTTGAAAATTAGGAGATTTTGTTCATTCGAAAGTTCAAGATCTCCGCAAGTTAATAGTTTAGTATCAATAATAAAGTTTTCAGTAAGCCAATTAAGATTGTTAAGCAAAATTTCTCTACATGTAGTGTATTTTGGGCAAACTAAAAGAAAATGATGAACATCCTCAATATCAGACCCACACTGACACGAAGGATCCAGTATAATGTTAGCTTTGAAAAGGTCAGAGGTCAGGATTAACATTACTACATGCAGAAAGCTACTATTTAAAACTTGTTTGTTCTCATCAGAAAAAGAAAGAAATGCTTGTACTAAATTTTACAATTCTTTAGTAGTGTTTAATAAGGTACATCTAATAAATTTTTCAACAGTGAAATTTTTAAATTTAGTTTCGATACTAGATTATCTTTATGAAGAAGAGGTAACAAAATGACAACAGAAAATGATTTTCCCCCATATCAAAATCAACATTTTCAAAATATTTCATGATGAATCAAATGATTTCTTTCTTACCTTCAACGACTAACAGTTCATTAGATATATTAGTGTTTTGTTCTGTGGTAACGGTTATCACTTGGTCAGTAACACTGTCTGGAAATACTACCTGATAATCTGTAACAAAACACAAATACTACCTGATAATCTGTAACAAAACAGAAATACTACCTGATAATCTGTAACAAAACACAAATACTACCTGATAAAAAACAGAAATACTACCTGATAAAAAACAGAAATACTACCTGAAAATCTGTAATAAAACAGAAATAATACCTGATAATCTGTAACAAAACACAAATACTACCTGATAATCTGTAACAAAACAGAAATACTACCTGATAATCTGTAACAAAACACAAATACTACCTGATAATCTGTAACAAAACAGAAATACTACCTGATAATCTGTAACAAAACACAAATACTACCTGATAAAAAAACAGAAATACTACCTGATAAAAAACATAAATACTGTAACAAAACAGAAATACTACCTGATAATCTGTAACAAAACAGAAATACTACCTGATAATCTGTAACAAAACAGAAATACTACCTGATAATCTGTAACAAAACAGAAATACTACCTGATAATCTGTAATAAAACACAAATACTACCTGATAATCTGTAACAAAACAGAAATACTACCTGATAATCTATAACAAAACAGAAATACTACATGATAATCTAAAAATACAGAAATACTACCTGATAATCTGTAACAAAACAGAAATATAATAAATTGTCAATAATTTTGTTTCAATGTCCAGAAATATAAATAAGCAAAATACGAGAATTCATATCAGTCAACATTGAACACCTTTTCAGATTTACATAACGGTACTCAAAAACACTAAAAAATGCACTTAAATCATATTGAATAAAACCAACAAAAGCACATATCATAAATATTGTCAGTTGTTCCAGTTTTCCTTATATGCTCTTTATGTTTAAGGATAAAAGGAAAGGTGTATGAGCTTTTTGTTGTATGACAGTTTAATGAATTAAATCTATCAACAATCATTTTGAAGTTTGAAATTCAATATCAGTCTTTGATCTTCTATTCAATTGAGAGTATTCTACTTTCTATTTTATGTGAAAATTTTTCATGTACAAAAACTATTTGCTTTAAAATTAACTAGCATTCTGAGAGTATTGCATGGCAATACATAGTCCCCTACCGGGTAAAAATTCATTATACTGGAACAAAATGCTAACTTGTTCTATAACTTGTCATGGTGTAAACAAAAAGAAAATATCAAGTCAATATCTTCAAGCATGACTAAAAACAGTGTGGAAAACTGATTATATGAGTGAATTTTTCAAGTCCAAGGACTTGAACTCTGCACAAAATTATCAGACCGAAACAAAAATTTGAACTTGATCTGTAACTTGTCATGATAAAACTATATACCAATTATCAATCAATATCTTCAAGCATGATGAAAAAAAAGTGTAGAAAACACTCTAACATTAAATATGATTAATAGTTCTCTAAAATTAGATATGATGTAATACAATGTATAATTAATAGTTCCAAATATTTTTTCTTTCATTTGTCACAAACTAATATAGATTTGTAACTTATCTATAAAATGTCAACAACTTTTATCTATACACAATGTAATGTAATGAAATATATACCTTAATAAAAATAGATTATTATCTTTCACTTCATAATTTTTTTTTATGTATATAGCATTCAGAAAATTAGTTTATACAAAATAAAAAACACTTCAAACAATTAACCAAAGAATGTCTTTAAAAAAATGAGTTATCTCTCTTTGTACAGAAATATGGTTTAATATACAAAATGTAGTACTCTAACATTAGATATGGACCATGATAACTCTGGACTAATTCATCAGACCGGAACAAAATTTAAACTTGATCTATAACTTGTCATGATAAAACTATATACCAAATATCAAATCAATATCTTCAAGCATGAAGAAAAAAAGTGTGGAAAGCTGATTTGCTGGACTGACAGATGGACAGACGCACGGAAAGACAGACGAACAGAGTGCAAACCTAAAGTCTCCTTCGACTTCGTCGGTAGGGGACTAAAAAAAATATATGGTATGAGTTTTTCTCATTGTTGAAGGCAGTATGGATTCCTATAATTGCTTACATCCACTTCATTTGAACTTTGGTGGATAGTTAGCAATCATACTACAACATCTCCTTATTTTTATTTTGACCTTTGTTTATTAAGGGAAATTGTCAAGTTCATTGTATATAATCCTGTCTGTCCAAAACCAGACATCAAAGTTTTAAACACCTTTTAAATGCATCTTGACAAGTTTTACTGTCGGCTGGTTGCTGTTTCATTGATGTCTATCCTTCTTTTATTTATAAAAATTAAAATTGACTATTTTGTTGTTGTTGTAAAAATGTGATGTTGTTGCTGACCAGTGTTCAAATTTAAAGAATCTTATCAACATTTAATTCCTTCATTTTTTGGATCATATTAAGTGGTAGTTTCATTGATGTCTATGGTGGTAGTTTCCATTTAGAAGACAAATCAGTTATACTTATAAATAAATTTATTTATATAAATGTCACATTAATATACAAAATGTATTACCAAATTCACAACAATCACAAGTTCACAACATTAGATCAACCACTACAGTTTAAACAATCAAAATGATAAATTGCAAATCAAGCACTAAAGTTACAAATATTTTTAGTATTAAGTCTATCTGTGGTAAAAACTAAGAAATTCTTCATGAACTGATTCCATTAAAAGTGGTAGTCTCTTTGGTATAAGTTGTCGTAGATCTTTGGGAACCTTCTGATTCAACTTGATACGAAGGTCTTTTGGCCCAGTCTGTTTCTTCTTGTTCAAGAATGTACGCAAATCTTGTACAGAGTTGGAACTGTGTCTAGTTGATCTCTTCTTGTTGTGTCTTCTGTATTTAGAGTTGCATGGTCTACTGGTTCTGGATGAGTAGTAGTCTTGTTGCTGAAGTTGTTCTGCTTGTCTTTGACCCAGTCTAGAGAACACACTGTCACTAGTCTGAGTATCTGTTGTAAAGGTTGATGTTCCAATCTCTTCCTTGATGTTTGTTTCCTGTTTAATGTTTTGTAGTATTGGCTTTACATCCATGGGTTCTTCTTTAACTGTTACTTGGTTAGAAGCAGTAGTATTGCTAACAGGTTCCTGTTTGATGTTTGTAGTAAAGTCCATGGGCTCTTCTTTGATGGCTTGTGAGACAGGACAATTACCAAAATGTAAGATAAGGAATTGACCAGTAGGTGCTGTTCTAGTATGGTAGGTGTGTTGTAGTCCCTCTGGTAGTGAGGTCAGATATTCATGGACAGAAGCTTGTACTGACTGGTAGTGTGACATCTTGACAAGGAGTGCTGATAGAAACTGTTTGATGCTTCTGCCTGTGGTACATGGGGTTTTTATCATAAAGTATTGTAAAAACAATCAATATGATTGGTTAATGAAATAAACATTGTTCACTTTCATTGATTTAAATTAATATCAAAATTACATTGATTGTCTTATAAATAAACACTGTTCACACTCAAAAATTTAATAAGCTTGGGTAATTTTTTGAAATTAATTATTGATAACACAAATCATTAGCTGTGATTTTTTTTAAACACACTCATTACTGGTAATTAGTAACCCAAGGTTGGAATTCTTAACATCATTTTATAGTCATTACCAAATGACTATTTTTTAAATATAAAATAAACATATTACATATTGAGCTTTCGTGTCTTTTTCTGAGCATCCCTTTCGGGCATGTTGCAAAAATACTCTTTTGTTTTAAAGATATTTTACCAAGTGTCATTATTATACAACAAAAATATCTAAAACTTGAAATTTAAAGAAGAAACTATAAAAAAAATTAAGTGTTGTAAAGTGTATTTAAAATTTTCAGAAAAAATCCATTTAAAATCAAGGACAAATAATTATACTGAATTTGATAGGACAATTTGTATATTTTTAAAATATTTTTCAAGAAAATAAGGCATGTGACCCCCTATTTTTATTTGATATTTCAGAAGTATGAATGAAAAGCAATTCTGTCATTGAATTGTAGCCAATTCTATCCTTTAATGTTTCCTCAATAAGGAAAAATTTCATTAATTTCAATGTATATTAATGAAAAAACAAGGTCTGTGACCCACAGTTTTTATATTGAAATTTGAAAGAACATAGACCCAGAAGTCTTTTTAACAGAAGTTTAAGAAAAATCTTTCGTCCAACATTTAGACATCCAAGCTACCTTAAATAATCAAAAATAATATTTAGTTGAAAAAAAATGTATCAGTATTTTAAAAAGTACCACAAGTTTCAAATTCAATCTCTAAAACTATATTTCTGAGTCTAAACACAGGAATTTTTATGTTTGTAGCAATACAAATAGTGCATTATGAATGAACATGTCCTGAGTCTTGATAAGAAATGCAAAATGTCTCACAATTTTTAACAATGATAAAACTTTTTTTCTTTTTTGATTTTGAAATACTTTTATTAAACTACTCTTGTAGATATGTGCTAAAATGAATACATAAAGAAGTCATATGAAGCTAAACACCAAATAACTAGAGGCTCTTAAGAGCCTGTGTCTTTCACCTGCATCTTCAACTATGACGACTTTTTAGTAAAAATCATCATTAAAGGGGAATAACTCTAATAAGATGTAACTCACAATTTCAGTCATGTTCATGCATTTGTAGATCTTATCCTGCTGATCATTTTTCTTTTTGTAAGTTTCTATTCATTTATTAAAGTTTTCAAGATAATAGGCAACAAGAATATGTCCATACCCCACTCACACTATCATTTTCTATGTTCAGTGGACCGTGAAATTGGGATCAAAACTCTAATTTGGCATAAAAATTAGAAAGATCATATCATAGGGAACATGTGTACTAAGTTTCAAGTTGTTTGGACTTCAACTTCATCAAAAACTACTTTGACCAAAAACTTTAACCTGAAGCGGGACAGACGGACGAACGAACAGACGAACGAATGTACGCACAGACTGAAAAACATAATGCCCCTCTACTATCGTAGGTAGGGCATAAAAATTGCAAACAAATGTTAAAAATAATAATTAAAGGGTAATAACTCCATTAATGG